ACTAGTACAACACCTCTTTTCACTCGGCTTCACAGATGACTCCATTCAAGGTGTTGTACGTAAGGGACCCTCCTCACTTGATGCACTTTGGGAGTAGCAGTACTACTGTTTCTTCAGTGGAGGAGTACTTGGGGGAGAGAGATAGAGTGTTAGAGGAATTGAAGAAATATCTACTAAGACTCTGAGAGCTCAACAGATTATGAAAAAATAAGCTAATGGGCATAGGAAGGACATACAGTTCGAAGTAGGAGAGAGGGTGTTCTTGAAGCTCCAACCATACGACAGAAGATAGTTGCCAACACGAGAAATGGGAAGCTCGCTCCAAGATACTTTGGACCTTATGTAATATTGGAAAAAATTGGAGCGGTAGCATATCGGCTGAAACTATCACCCACGGTGACTATTCATCCGATTTTCCATGTGTCGCAGCTGAGAAAAGCCATTGGAGATTATATAGTCAGCTCGAAGTTACCGGTAACGCTTACTGAGGATTTGGAAGTGATTCTCGAAACCTTAGAGTTGATGGGGGTTCGCTAGAAAGAAGATGAAGCCAAAGAAGTGCTAATCAATTGAAAGAATCTGCCTGACTATGATGCAACGTGATAACCATACGAGAGGGTGAAACATCAATTTCCTAGTTTTCATCTTAAGGACAAGGTGATTCTTTGGGAGGGCGGCATTGATAGGCCGGTTCATCCTGAACCGGCCCAGTCAGCCACTGGGCCGGCTCACGTTTACAGGAGGCGGAAAAGGTCCGTCTCCTTTAATGCTTGCCGCCCACATGTGTGGGCCCCACTTGGAGCAATTGGGAGAGAGGGGTTTGGGCGGCTAGGGTGAGAGGGAAAATTTGAATAAGGGAGTTTGAATTAGAGAATCATGTGTATTAATAGGATGGTTTGTTTTAGGGTTAAGGTTATGCTTAGTTTGAGTTTCTCGGAGTTCCTTGGTGTTTTGGCTCTGGATTGCTTTGTCTAGAGATTGGGAGAGAACGATCCTCCTCTCGAATTGATGATCACTTGTATCTTGCTTCATGTTCATTTGGCTTTTATTTCCTTGTTGCAATACAAACGTTTTGTGGCTGATTTTGGTCCATATTTTACGTTATTCTCATTGTTTTTGCCAATTAGTGATAGGTTTGCTTGCGAACTCAATTATTTCCCTTAGGGTTACTTGCGAACTCAATTATTTCCTATCAGATTGTATACTACATGGTACTTATGGACAAGGAGAAAATTGAATCATTGATTTTAATCATAGGCAACCATTTTCCCTTCATCCCATTGCATTTGTCTAGTAAAGTATTGCACCATCTCAAATGCTTATATGGAAAGAAAATAGGCACACTATAGCTGTTAAGAGATTTAGGTTCTCTATGACTGAATTGGAGTTGTCCTGTCTCTATTAGGAGACCTATAAGACATCAGTTCAATGTAAGCTTCTCAATGTTATCATCTAAAATCAAATACAAATAAGCTTATAACTAGATCAATAGTAATCCCATCCGATTCATTAAAAATTTGTACGGATCTACTGTTAAACCTAGCAACCCCATCCAATTTATTTACAACTTTTATCAATTAACTACTGCATCATCATACACATACATAATTAATAATATACATTATAAAAAAATATTAGCAAGACCCCTACAGCCCAAATTATCCAAAGATATTTCACTAAACGGCTTAAAAGTTCCCAAACCTAAAAAAACCTATTTGATGTTGTTGAGACACAAATACCATTTCTTCACTCGCCAATTCCAAAGACACCGTAGATTGTTATCTTCTCTTGCAATCTAATTGTGGTATATAATTTTGCTGTGGTTTCACATTCACACTATCCCATGCTGCCTTTCATTGTTTAAGGAACCCTACAATAATGATCTTCTCCAATCCATTGCAATTAGAAACAACTGTATATTGCATCAAATTAAGAACCACTTTGACAAATAAATCAATATATTTTCTTTTATCTGTTACAATCTCAAGCTTCTATCATCCTCATCTTTGGCAAATATATCACTGAGCCTACTACATTACATGATCTTCATGACCGATTGAACTTACTACTTGATTCATACAATTGACTGACAGAATATTCATTTTTCCAAAAAACCGTGCAAAAGTTATGCTGAGAAGAATTATGGGGAATTCAACTGAGTCAAATCCTTTGACTGGGCTTTGGGTTCAAATTGGATTTCAGGTCAAATTCATCTCAGCTTCAATTCAATGACACTACCCAATGAAGGAAAATTGCAAATAGTGTTTAGATGGGAGTCAACCTAATCCTGGCACATGCTTACTTAGGCACGCAAGTCATCATAATGTGGAACCTTATACCTACTTGGTTGCCACCATTGCCACCATGTTCAGAACAATGGAGAGCCAAAACTACTGTTGTCATTCCTCTCTATGCAACACCTCTACAACAACCCATCACACCCGTCAAACAGCAACCAAACTTGCTTCAATAGGATCACCTACCCCCCTCATCCTCAACTTCTCCATCTCCATTCCACATCAAGCGAATCTGCAATGATGGTAGAAAGCTTGTGAGGGAACTCAAAGGGGGACCTATGTCACTAATAGAGAATTTGGAGTTGATGAGAGAAAGTCGATGATTGGGACTAGTTCACCCATTTGACAACAAGTTGAACTAGATTAATTTTAACCATCTCAAATCTGTTTGCTATGGTTTCATGCTGGAGAAACCCTTGAGACTCAATTCGATTAAAAAAATGCCACTTCTTGCAAAAGACGCTTAAGAAAAAAATTGGAATGGCTAGTGTCCGTTTTAATTGAACCAACGAGCGGGTTCCAACTAATAAGAGAGATGGAGATAGAGGGGGTCGATTGCAAGTCATAGAGTGCGAATGAGTGAGAGAAAGAAAATGCGAATGATATTGAGAGTGAAAGGTAGACAGAGAAGAAGAACGAACGAGTGAGTGTGAGAAAGAAAGATAAAGGATGATCAAGTATAAGACAATCGAACGCGAGTTGATAAGACATGAGCGGGTAAGTGGTGTCACCCAAAGGTATATCTCATATGTATGATTATAGGAATTAAGCTAAAGGAAATAAACTTTGAAGATTAAAGTAAAAAAACTATTTTTTTTTAAATTAAGGCAGGTAATTATATTTCTTTCTTTATGTTAATTATAGTTATTATTTTAAGTTTAATTCATTTATTAATATGTTCTTTTATAACATTGATGTCCGACTCTCAACAACATTGTCGTCTCGTCTCTCAATACCTGATACACGTCATTGACATTCGACTCTTGACATTTTAATATTAATCATTTTAAACACAAATTATAGCTAAATAACTTATTATTTCTAATTTATTTTTAATATTATACTTATTCAATTTTTATACACTATTTTTACAATATAAAAATTATAATATCGTGTCCAACCTGTGTTTGTGTCCAATATTTTCAATTATTGATGCGTTCCATGTCCATGTTGTGTCGTATCTGTGTCGCCATGTCCGTGTCTGTACATTATAGGGTTTAACCTCTTATCAAAATGAATTGTTAAGAATTACATGTACTGCCTTGAGTGCATATTTTTTGGTTCTTAAATTATTACAGTATAAAATTGTAATTAACCACCAACTTGTTTGTATAACTCAACCCACAAATTTAATGCTCCTTTAAATTAGATGGATGAAAGAAAGAATTTATATACAATAGAAGAGAAGCAACTAAGGATAGGTATTATATGAAAAGATGTATCAGTTGTATCTTGTTGTATTTTCTTGCAAATGCATAAAATAAAAATGATTTATATTATGATTTGTATGTGACGAAGTTGCATGGTTTAGTGGCTCTTTGAATTTGGAAGATATTGCTTTTGGAAAGCTCAAAATATTAAAAGAAATAAATTAAACTACCGTACAACCACCACCTATTCGCATCTTGATATTTAAACCTCTTGTGTCGGTTTGTGACACTTCCCAGCCCACCTAATTAAACAAGTAGACCCAAACCAATTTTAACAACATTTTTGTGGGTACATATGGTTTCATACAGCTTAAATACTTGAAACTTATTGCACTAGAAACTTCTGAATCTGTAACTTTAGAAAAGTCCACCTTTCTTGCATATGGTTTTCTTGATCCAATTTTTACAAGAATCAAGGGCAGAAATCAACACGTTTATTTTGATGACTTTTCCTTTTCTCCTTGGGCTTTAATAGATATCTCTATAAAAGAACTTCTGCCACCATTTGGCCAATAGAGAGGACGAATTTATTCCAAGCCTACTCAAGGAATATTGAACCCAAAAAGAAAAAAAAAATCCTATGCATTAGTGATCCAAGTGATATTGGCTTCCATTGTGCTTGAACCATTAACAGCTTCTAAGCCTGCAGGGATGTACTGATAAACCACGGCTTACAAAATGATCCAACGAAACGGATGCCAAGTCTAATTTCCTGTACCGTGCACAAGATTTTCCAGGTGCTGAGATTCATTCCAAACAGCGAAACTGCAAAACCCAAAAAAAAGGTAGAAATGCGTCCACTTATAGTTTCTAGTCAGAATACAAACAATCCAAGCCTTCTTGGCTGTACTGTGCTTGATAAGCATGTTCTTTGCTACTCGAAAACATTCCATATGTTATAGTTCTGACAAGAAATTGATGCCCTTTAACATCGGAGGGTAAAGGAAGTCTAATCTAAAAACTAAACACTTAAATTTACAAGGATGTCTGCTATTATAGTAATAATTGATACAAGTACTTCAAGAATCCTGCATAGGAAACTAATAACAACGCAACATGCAAGAATTATTGTCATTTAATTAATTTGTTAAAAGAAAAAAAAAAGATTATTTAAATTCGTTATAGTTATAACAAATAATACATCAATTTTGGAACAGCATAATTCAGCAATGCACAAAGATATGACAGAAGGAATGAGTTTTATATTTACTTGAAAAAAACACTTGAAATATTTGATGAATGAATTTATTGTGAGAAGTTTGATCAAAAATACCTCAATGATTGAAAATAGAACTGCTATATGGTTCTTCAATCTCACTATAGCATATGATGCTTTTTCCATATTAGCATCCTCTTCATCATCAATGACGGATTCCTGATCTGAATAGTCTCCTGCATCAGAGTAAGATTGAAATCTATCTGGTATCTCAACTTTAGACATAGTATCCGCAATTTGTTTAGCTACAGGAAAACAAGATGTAGCTGAATTTTTTAGGGCCAACAAAATATGCCTCCATTCTGCATCTGAGAGATTTCTTCCAAGATGCTCAGTCAACTGTAGCAAACTAGCTACACCAGTGCTTGAAGATTGCCGATAAGGACTGCTAATATAACTGGATAGAATTTCTACCACATGCATAAATTGAGAGCGAGCAACATCAAAAAATGTTACAAGTAAGTCGATCAAGCATCCTGCCGCCACTGTTCTTATTTCAGCATTAGATGGTTCTTCACCTAGTTGCTCATAACCATCTTCAGATGAGATTTGACCATCATGCATTTGATTTTCTTTAAAAATTGGGTATATGGCAGATTTGAAAATGTAGATCAAGAAGGTGCTCGAGAACAGGTGTCCATGATCCTTTAAAATGTGAAACAGTACCTCCAAAGCGCCCTTTCTGATAGTTGTCCTTGGATCTGATGTTAATTTTGACAAACCTGAAAATGCATTTACAGTAAGAATTTAGTCCCGGATTGGGATGCCTAAACAAAATTCAGTAAGATAACGGCTGCAAAAAAACGTTAAGACCTTAACAATATCTTTACCAGCAAGCAAAGGAACCCATAAGTAAATATGATTATCTTTGTAATTTGAAATATTTCCCTCAGAGACATCTCCATTGGCATAATTACATTCATTGTTTTTATCATAGCAAACAAGTCCTCCTTCAGCAAGTTTAACAGCACAGAAGCGAAGAAACGCAATAGCATTAAGGCTGGCATCATTATTGAATTTACTATTTGTGAATGTGATAAGGCACTTTACACAGTCTGTGAAAGTTGTAGTCTCAGTCTCTGTTATATAGGGAAAATAATCTCGAACTATTTTCTCCATGGTATCAAAAGTTAATAGGACAATAGTTTTTCGCTCATCAGCAGCAGCAATAGTAAATACCTAAACAAATATGAAAAGAATCACTGATTATTCAGAGCTTCAATTTATTTGAAGAAAGTGAAAACTTACAGCAATACTGAAAAAATATTAAAATAAGTCCAAAGAGCTTTAAATTAAAAACGAGTGGCTCACTAAGTCCCATCTTACCTTAAAAACACTTTTCCATCCAGATTTCACATTACTAACTCGACTCAAAACCATCTGAGAAATACATCTAACAATCAACTCCCTGGTTTCTGAAGAAGTGCTTTTCTGCATGATGACTACAAAAGGTCTCAAAAATTCATTCTGAAAATTATAGTTTGCCAACTCCTCTCTTTCAAGGAACTTCATAGCCAACTGCCGCAATGAATCCATAACGAAAAAAGAAACTGAAAGATTTTCTGACAAACCAACTGATACAAAAAAATCAGAAAGAACACTCCAAATGCGAGACCAAACTAATCTGATGCGATTCATATTATAGTGCCTGCATGCATATAGAGAAATTAGGTCATAATGTATTTTGATTTGCCTAGCACAGTGTGTAGTAAAATTCATTAGAAGAGAAAACTTACGCAATTTCTACTATTTTGGTGAGGCTGAAAACACGAGGATCTGTAGGGGACTGCAATTCTGCCATGGAAACCTTACAAAGGGCTCTTACAAAAGCTACTATAGCGTCACCATTCAATCTTTGACTATGGGCAAATATGTGGTTCAGCTCAAAGCTTCCAATCTGGTCTAATAAATGTATATTTGAAATAAAGTTGTTTATCTGCTCCGGAGAAACCAACCCTGTAATATTAGAATTAGATCCTACCGACGCACTATCATATGAACCCCCACGAACAACAGCCATTACTGCTGAGTTTTGGAGAGCATTTCCCTTTTTCTTCAAGTTTGGAGCTAGGGGAGACTTCTGTAACTTATCATCCGAATCAGGGATAGACGCAGAGAAGAATGAAGCAACTGGTGGTGCGCCTTCCCCTAACAGGAGTAAATGTTCAAACCGTGAAAGGCAAGTTAATACATGCTCCCATGCTTCTTGCAAGTAATTACCATCCTCAAGGGCAATCGACAGTATAGCCTGATTATAATATGAAATGACAAAATAAATTTCCTTTTCTTGAAAGTGCCTAGCATTACGAAGAAATTGAACAATATACAGAGGAAGTCAATGATACAATCATCAAAATTCTACAATTCTTAATAAATGATGTCCATGAGTTTCTACACACCATTTGTTGTAAGGAGCTGCATTTAGCATCAGTTCCCAGATAAAGCAACCATTATGAACTACATTTGATAAGTTTACGTCAGGTCATCAATTTACCTAAATATACTTGCCTTACCAGCACTTACTTTCCTCCACATTATATCAGTACAAAACATCTTAAGATGCAGGAAACAGTCAAACACTTGCACTTTGTGCAAAATTTACAATTATATATTTCTAATTTTACCAGAGAAACACAATTTTGATTCTTACCATGCCGAAATTGTTCATTTGCCTCCTATTAATCAAACAATATTAAAATTCATTTACCCTTACATGTTTCTTTTCATATATTACTTAATCTGTCTTGAACAGAGAAGAGAGACGAGATGACCAAGTAGAGCTATAAGAGTAAGTAGGTTATAAGGAGAATCTAGCAAGTCTCCATTTGTCTTAAACAGATGTGAGAATGATCAAATGCAACTATAAGTGAAAGTATAGTTATAAGTAGACATCGAGACATGTGCATGAATCTTATTTTTTATAAATTGCTTACAAATCATGTATTCTGCCCTAAAGTCAAGTTCAAGTTTGAAAGAAATTTTGCATTGTTAATAGACGTAAGTTCCTTAAAAGTGAAATACAAGTTGAATGAAAGTTCATGTTGTCAGTACTCAGTACCTACAAGTTCAGAAATTGATCAAGTTAATGCCACTTACAATTTCATGTATTGCTGGTGTTAAGAACGAGGATTTGAGAGGGAAAAGCTTGAATTTTATTAAGCAATCTACTCCCTATTTATAGATCTATACAAGGTATATCAATAAGGAAACAAATAACTCTTATAATAATATGAATACAATTATTCCTAAATCAATGGGAGGAATTAATGCAATCCTTGTAGTCTTCCCACGGATTACTGTTCACAGCCGTGGATGTCTTCGGGATCGTAAGGTTGAGATTTAACAGCTGGTTACAAATTAATGAACGTATGACATTGACATGTCGTCTCTATTAATAATTAAGCATATAATTGCATCATGTTCTGGATAGAACTTCACATAACTATCATGTTACTTAAATTAAATTGCAAAGCTTACTATTCACTCTTATGCTATTTATTTTACTACGAAGTCATGAACCCTGATACTAAAAAGCAGCTGATGGGCAAATTTCCAGCAAAGCTATAACTGTACATAGTACTGTGGGGGAAATGACTTTTGATTCCATGATGCAGTTTGCTGATCTAGAAGCTTAGCTCATGGGAGAAGGGCAGAATAGAATGTCGAGAATGAGAGGAGGAAATAAACAGACATTTGCAGCTATTTTTGAGGTTGAAGCCTTCCTCGCTTTCAGGGTGTAGTAGAACCTCAGGCGGTGAAAATTGACTGATGATGCTAAATAAGTCATTTGATAGCATGCAATGCCCTAAAAGTAAAAAAGTAACTGTTGACCTTGATTTTCACTCAAGCCTGGGTCAAGGGGGGTTGACTTGGTCAAATTGACCAAGCCATACCCCAAGAACTCTTCCATTGGGTTCAGTGGGTCAAACCAAGTCTGTGGAGCCCAGACTTAGGTCTTGGGTCACCAGGTCAACCTAGGTTGACCAAAGTAGCCCAAATCTTCCCCATTTGAATTCCAATCAATTTCAAATCATTCTTGGCTCAATCCCTCACCCATTTGGGTCCAATTGACCAAGTTGACTAGGTCAACTCATGGCTTGGTCAACCCAAGCCTTGTTTGGTCAAACTTGACCTATTTACGTCAAGCCCCCCCACCCCCATGAGTTGACCTAGAAGTGTTATTAGCCCTAGAAATGATATTAGCCGTCCATCATGGGCCTAGGGCTATAAAAAGGAGCATTAGAGCATACATTAGAGGATCTTGCTTTGGTTTTCTTGTCCTAAGATGTCCAAGCCCGAGCCCTTGCTTGTGTGAGCTCCCAAGGTTTCCCTCCACCTTTCCCAAGCTAAATCCACCGGTCAAGCCTCGCCGACAGTGAGATCTCCAAGGAACCGAAGCCCAAACCTTTCCAAGACAAATTCCCATCGATCTAGTGCATTTTGGAACACGGTTTCTTCTATTAAAAGGAGCGTGGACAATCTACAAGTGCAACAAGCCAAAGATCTTCTGAATCCATTCATTGGATTAGGTAAAAACTCAAACATTAGTTTAGGAAACTTAGGGTTAAATAACTTTTTCATACAGCGCGTTTCAGAACGCGATTTTCCCCCCATGAATGCTCTCTATGCATGCTTTCTAAGTTCCAAATTTCATTAAGTTTCATCGTCTATTTCACAACAACGAGACGTTTTCTTAGATTAGCGTTTGGTTTACGCCCTATTATTACTGCGGGATACGGACTGTTCATCTTACGATTAATGATCAAGATCGCGCTGTTCTGCGATCCCATCCGACCGAATATACGATTCCCTCGGATTGAGTCATCGTTCGGATTGATTCAAAATGCGGAGCATCCAACGGCAGGCGCAAATTACTTAATCAGATTAAGTTAAAACCGCGTCCTTGGTTTTTAATTAGGAAATGATTAGGGGTGTCAATTCGGGTCAATGGGTCGGGTTCGGGTCAACCCGAACCCAGCCCGTTTTTAAAAACGGGTCAGGTTTCCGGACCCGAACCCGACCCGACACGAATGACACGGAATTGACCCAAAATTGCTAGTTTTTGGGTCAAAATCGGGTCAATCTTATTTTTTCGGGTCAAAATCGGGTCAAAAACGGGTCAAACTCGGATTTTCGGGTCAAATATGAGTTTTCGTGTCACTTTCGGGTCAATTTCGTGTTTCCGTGGCAACCCGAACCCGACCCGATTTTTAAAACGGGTTGATTTCTTCAACCCGAACCCGGGCCGACCGGCGGGAAGTGGATTGCCAAAGAGGCCGCGGCTTGGGTTGTTTGGGGAGCGGCCGCAAGAGCAAGGGAGGAAGAATTTGAAAAAGACATATAGGGATTCAAGGAGTGAATTCCATGTTTTCCACAAGTGCTTTTCAAATTCCGGGGGGGAATCTCCTGGAGGTACATGTGTCGAAATCGCTGCTGATGTCCTCAGTAGCGTCTTTTTTTCAAGTGCTAGATTTCTCCATTCCAGTTTAGCTGTTGCTTGTCTAACCAACTCATGCATCAAGTAACTAGCGTCAATAACAGCTAGATAAGAGATAAACTGTATTATAGAAATTTAACCGCAGGCTCATAGTGGATAGATAAATAAAGGGAAAGATTAGTAAGCTTTAAGTTCATATGACTATCTTATTGAGGAGATTTGAAAGAGTTATGGGTAAAAAAGACATAAATACAAAAATAAAACAAAAAAAAAATCAAAAAATAAAAATAAAAAAAACAATATACAAAAAAAAAACAAAAAAAAAAAAAATATGCATTTCAATCGAATTTTGAAGATAAAAGGATGTCGATTAGTGGAGAAAAAAACATTAATTCAATATTTATGAATAATTTACGAAAAGTTCAAGAAAAATTAAGTTTTAATATTTTGAAAATAATTTTAAGATTAAAATGCTAATTTTCCAAAAAAATTAAGGTATTTACATGAATTTTTATGATTTAAAATGATTTAATATGAATTTTTAAAGTTTAATGTAATTAAAATGGTTTAAAATAATTTTAAAAAATATTTAATATTTTAAAAATAAGTTTCAATCAAACTAAATTAAATATTAAAAGTTCTCTAAAATTGAAAAAATTTTAAGAAATAATTTTTTATAAAATTTAGGAAAATATTGAATTTAATTTAGTTAATTATTAATTGAGTTATGATATTTAAAGAAATAACTTTAAAATAAAAATATTTCCTTATAATTACACTTAATTTAAAAAAGCATATGGATAAAGTTCCAAGAAAGTGCTATGGAGAGTTCTTGAAAAGAAAGGAGTCAATAATGCATTATATTCAAATATTAAAGATATGTATGCGGAGCTATTTACTTGTGTTCCAAACACAAGGTGATTGACCAAGTTATTTCCCTATTTCGTGTGTTACATCACAGGATCAGCCTAAGCCCATTTATCTTTTTGCTTTAGTCATGGATGTTCTCACTTAACATTGCAAGAGGATGTACCTTGGTTGTTATGCTTTTGCTTGATGTATTTCTTTTCGTTGTTGATAAGACTAGAGAGGGAGTTGAAGGATAACTTGAATTATGGAGGTCAACTTTAGAGTCTAAAAAGTTTCTGCTGAGCTTATCAAAAACGGATATATTGGAGTTGCAATTTTAGTAGTAATAGACCCTAGTGAGGGATTGTGACTTTGGCGATCAAAGTCATTTAAAAGAGTACACGTTTTAGATATCTTGATCTATTGTTCAGAGTGAGGTGACATAGATGGGTATTATCAGCAGAATTCAGTTGGATGGTTGAAGTTAGAATGCATCGGCTTTTATGTGATTGAATGTACCCCCTCAACTAGGAAAATTTCTATAAGATGGTAGTGAAGGCCTGCAATGCTTTTATGTTGCCGAAGTTGGCCTTTAAAAGAGAAGCATAATTACTAAGTAAGTGGGCAGAGATGAGGATGCTCAGGTGGATGAGGGCTTTACCCTTAGAGATAGGATACGAATGACATATACGCTGAAAAGTTGGAGTTAGCTCCAGTAGAAGATAAGATTAGAGAAAGTCGCCTTTAGATGGTTTGGTCACATAAAACGCGGCCATTGCGATGGACCGTTAGGGAGAGTAGAGTATTAGATTTGACTTTATGTTAAGAAAGTAGGGTAGACCTAAAAAAGACTTGGTTAGAAAAATTAGAATGACCTTTCTTATTAGATTAAACGAGAATTGACTTTTAATAGGAACACAATGGAGAAAAAGGATTCATTGTAGCTGGACCCCACGTAGGTGATAAAGGCTTGATGTTGTGTTGTTGTATATACACTAATTTAAAATTAAATAATTAGAAATAATTCTCTGATTTTGAAAATAAAATATTAAAGGAAATTAAGTATATAAAAAAATATTTTAAACTAATATTAATTAATTATTAATTAAATATATCATTTAAATAATTAAATAAGAGATCTTAATTTAAATAATTTAAATTAAATAAAAATTTTAAAAGTGAAAACATTTTAAATGTTCTCTTACATTATATATATATATAAATAATATAGATAATTTTTTAGAAAATTTTAAACTTTAAATAAAATATTTTAAAATTATTGATTAACTATTAATTAAAATATGATATAGTTTAATAATTAATATAACTTAAATGTATATAATATTTTAAATTAAAATAATTTTAAATTAAAGCGTTTAATTTTCTAAAAATTATGATTTATTATATTAAAATTTTTTGTTTAAATTAATTTGTAATTAATTTTTTGAAGTATATAGTTTAAAAAGAAATTTAAAAATTCAAATAACCAAATGGTACTGAACAAACACTTTGGCGGCTGATTGTCTCCTAAACTGCGACAATGATTGCACCGACGGCAATCATTTTAGGGTGTCAATTTTTGACACGACACGAAACCCGACCCGAACCCGACCCCGAAAAAATCCGGGTTCGGGTCAACCTAAACCTGAAACGGTT